AATGCAAATATGTAGAGTGCAAAATTTTATATTTTTATAATATTTTGTATGAATTTGCACTGTACATATTTGCATTTTTACTCTTTCCAAACTGAGCCTTATTTTCAAATGATCAACAAATAATATATAATAAAAGGTTGAATATAGGTGTAAAATAGATTGAGCCACCCATGGGTCAGCACAATGTGTGGGTCATGTTCTACATGATCCATGGTTACTACAATTAATCTCTCTTATTCTCTAACTCTCTAATCTCTACAATGAATCTCAATTTTCAAGTTCTCAACATTTTTTTTTTCAATAAGGAATCTTGCTCAAGTGTCTTAAGTTAGCAATTTGGAAGGTTAGGAGGTTTCATCTATTAAAATTAAGTTGGGATAATGGACCGGACTACTAGGCTGGGTAAGGGGCAATTATTTTTTTTTTCTAATTTTGGGTGTTTTAATATTCTACATTTATTAAAATGGCAGGTTCTTATTCCCAAACACCCTTTCCCTTTATTGATGCATACTCTCAGTCTCTATAAAATATATAGCATCGATGTTGTTGTTGGTGTTAGTGCTAGTGGAACCAAAATAAAAACTAATGAAGTATGAACTTACTTCACAATGATAGATATTGTAGGAAAGGGTAAGAGAGTTGTTTGCAGTAAATGTAAAAAAGATTTTAGTTGCCTATCTAGTGGTGGTACTGCACACTTAAATAAACACATACCTAACAATCTAATGACCCAAAACAAACATAAATTGCACACACACCTAGTTTTTTGATCAATATTCATAAAAAAATGAGACGATTACTTGCTAGATATATTATACATGCACAACAACTATTTATGTTTTTTGAAAATCTAAAATCTGAAAAAAAGAATTTGCAATCATCTGTAGATCCCTATCTCAAAAGGGTTTCTAGAAATACTATAAGATCGGATGCAAGTAAAATTTAATTTATACCTTTGACTCTTTCTTCTAAAGTTTCTCTTGAGATATTTGGACATTCAAATTTATTATTAGTTATATTTGTGTCACTAGGCATTTCATTTTTTAATGGATATTAAAAAAGGAATTTTAAGTTTTACAAAATTTGAATGGTCACATACTTGTTTGGCAATTGCTGCAAGTATTTTAAATACTATATGTACTTATGATATTGAAAATAATTTTTTTTTCTATTAGTTTTGATAATGATTGCAATAATGATGTTGCAATATATAAATATTTTAAAATCTCATTTAAAAACTATTTTTGATGGAAAATGTTTCATATTAGATGTACATACCATATTTTTAGTATGTGTATAAGATAGTTTGGAGGTTATTTCACCACATATTTGAGAAATTAGAAATTGTATTTTGTATATAATGTCTTTAATTTGGTTTGAGAAAACAATATTTTGAAAATTTATGTCTTCAACGTACAAAAAACATAAAAATGTTAGATGTATTGTTCAACATAAGTGTAATTCCACCTATTCTATGCTAGAAGGTTGCATTCCGTATACGGATGTCCTCGCTATGTTTTACAACAACAGAATGTCCAATGAAATGATTACTATTGATGATTGGAATGTCAACATTTGTATGAATTTTTTAAATATTCTTAGAAAGATATTATTTTTTTAGTGTTTATTACCCAAATTCTTGTATTTTACTTAATCAAACATATGCACTTAGTTGTTGTTTTTCACAATATTGGAAAAATATTTCCTCTATATTCTTTATCTACAATATTAGACCCTAGGATTAAACAAGAAGGTGTAAATGCTTTAATTGATTATTACTACGAAAATATGCAAACTAATGTTGGAACGAAAAAAGAAGAAATTTATTTTTATTATTTAAATGCATAATTTATATGAATCACAATATGAAAGACTAGTCCAATATCACCATCTCTTGTCACTAGGGCATGGCCATTGAAAAATAGAAGCAAGTAACAATCAGTTACTACTTCTTCTTCAAGGTTCATTTAATGAACTTCATTTTTATTTGCAAAATGATTTTACAAGCTTCCTCCCAAATGAGGAATTGGGAAATTTTAATATTTTAACCATGTGGAAAGCACATGGACATACTCATCCTATGCTTGCCACATTATATTACACATGATTTGCTAACCACTTCGGTGCCCATAGTTGCATTGAACCCATGTTTTAATGCCGATAAAGGAGTTTTAAATGATAAGAGAAGTCATATGATGAATGAGACTCTAGAAATGTTCATATGTCTCAAGGATTGGTTAAATGCAGATGATAGACTACAAGATCAAGGGGGGAGACAACACTTCATTTGATGGATCACCAGAAGATCATGCTCAAGGAGGAGATACAACATAAAGACCCAATAATTAATAAAATTTTTAATATTATTGTAAATTTTGATTTTCAATTTTATTTGTAAATTGTAATCCAAGTTATTTCTGATTTTTTTCCAATTCTATCATAAAATTTTATTTAAAAATTTATTATACTATTTCAATATTTCATTCTAATTCAATTGTATTTTTTAATTTAACTTTATTGTCCATATACTAACAATTGCATATTAAAATTCATATGAGATAAAATTTTAATATTTTTTAATATGTTGCCAACTTATCTATTTTTTTAAATTAATTTTTAAATTATTATTATTTTTTCAATTTTTACTTAAAAAATTAAACATGCTGGCCTAGCTAGGTACGAGTCCATTGACCACGGGCCTGGACTCCCTTCCTTGTTCTGTCATGCCATGTCAGTATGACCTACTATGGTGCGGGTGGCATGACAAATCAGTGCTATGCTAGCTCAACACAACCCACATTACACCTTTAATCTTGAAAATGCTATGCAGATTTTTGTATCATGGGTCATGATACTTTGAGAACACATATCAATGTGTGTTGAGTTGTTGCCAATACATATCATTTCTTAAAGTATCCCAAAGTTTTAGGAGATTGACTTAGTATACCCTTACTGCTTAGAAATTGTTTTATTAAATCCTCCCCTACTGCTGATGTCCATTAACATTTCATCACAATGCATTCGCATGTGACATCACGTGACGTGTATTTTTTTTTTTAAATCCAAAATTACCCTTTTACAGTCAATTTTGCCCTTCATTACTCTTCAAATTTTCAAAATAAAATCTAACAGATTGAAATAAGATTTTTCCAAAAATACAAATACATTAAAACCGGGAACATCAAATTGGTAAGTAAAATCGCAGTACTTCATACTAATTGTGTTGAGTTGCTAATGTAGGTTTTGATTTAATTTCACAAAACATCGATTCAGGTTTTGATTTATGGATTCTAAGATTTTCAACACACCCATCAGTTGGTTTGGATAAATCAATTCAAGCTTTATTAGTAAAATATAGCCATTATTTATGCCAACTAGTAACTAAGCACGTGCATTTTCATGTGAATTTTTTTTTTTAATATTAATTACTTATGCCAACTAGTAACTAAGCATGTGCATTTTCATGTGAATTTTTTTTTCATATTAATTACTTGAATTTTATATATATCATAGTTAAGATAGAAATTAAAAATTTACAAAAGTAACAATATGATTAAAAATAAACTCAAATGTTTGTAGTAATTGTGCACGTGCATTGGATGTGGAAATTTTAAACTATAATCACAAATTATTATTATTATAATTAGATTTTGCATTCTATTTCTGTGATAAACAAAAATAATTTTATTTTAATGATTATTTTTTTAATATGATGAATATATAACATTAGAAATGTTCCTAAATGTTTTCAACAAAATTCTGTATTTTTTCATTTTTTTGTGTTTCATATTTTTCTAAATATTTTTATTCAACTATGACTTCATGAGTCTAGATAAGAAAATAGCTTTGCTTTTGAATCATTTATAATTATATATTTCATCTACATTATATAAATAATTTTTACTTATCACACTTAATTTTTGTTCGACATAATTAATATATAATTTTTTATATATTCTTTTGGTAATTTATACTTTTTTTAATGATTTAGTATTTAACCATCATATCATTGATTAATCCGTTTGACCTAAATCACTAACCCAGCACTCAAAAAGGAAATTGTTTTGATTTCTAGGCTGACATTAAATTTTGTATTGCATTTTCATCATTGATAAAATTATTTCTTATATATAATACTTATTTTTGTTCAATATAATGAATTTATAATATTAGAGATGTACCCAATATTTTATTTTTATAAACATATAGCATTAGATATGTGTCCAAAATTTTCTATATTTTTCTTTTATTTCTATGATTCTTTGTATTTTCTATTTTTAAAATTTTATTATTTGACTATGACATCATTTCATTGCTAGGTTGATTTGAAATTTGGCATTCCATTTTCATGGTTAATAAAAATACTTCTTACATTACATACTTATTGTTGTTTAGTATAATGAATATATAATATTAGAGATATCTCAATTCTTTTTTTGTATTATATATTTTATTTATTTTAAATTTTTATTATTTAATTATGTACTGTTTATTAACCCATTTGACCCCAAATGATTGAATTGCTTACCCGCCATTGGGAGGGAAGAAAATGGTTTTGCTTTTAAAGTATTTTTCAAAATATTTATTTTTATACTATTAAAATTAATGTAATGGATTTAACTAATAGAATTTAATGATGAGAAAAATATATCTTAAATATAGGATTTGGTGAATGAATATACCTTAGATATAAGATTTAATGAGAAAGAATAAGAAAATGGTTTTATTTCCAATTGCTTTTAATTTTATATTCCAATTGATTTTAATAGGGTTGTAAAATTTTGCTATTTTATTTTTAATTTTAAATAAAATAAATTGATTGACATTATAAAAAAAATCACAGGGTGGGAGTCCCATGATACTCATGAAGAAGGGATAATAACCTTGTCCCCGCCAATGGTAATGGGGATGGATGGGGAGTGTCTCCCTGTCCCCACCCCGCCCGGTAGGCATTCCTATTTTGCACATCCCACTCTAATTTTATAATTCTATAGGCAAGATACTCTTCCATTGAATAATATCATAATTGATATGCAACTATAAAGTATACAAGCATTTAGATACACCAACAGCAATCTTAATAAAGCATATTCTTGTGCATTGTAGAAATACAAACCAAGATTACTGCCCTTTTATTTACTACACACAAACATGTAAGTGCGCTATTGAAAGGGCCAAATATCCAACTTCACAGGCTACTAGCTTTATTTTCATTGTTACCCAGATCCTCTTTCAGCTGACAAGGGAGGCCACGAACTTATTTTTAGCTACACTCCTGTAAACACCAACGAGAATCAGAATTTAAACAAAATTAGTATTCAACTTGCATTCCTTAGAAAGCTTGCCCACTAACTAAATACAAGAAACGAGCTGTGATATTTTCAAGCTAAACCAATAAAAGATGAAAATGGAGGGAAAATTAAAAATCCAACCTTTGAGACAACGCCAATCTTCAAACTTTGGTGGGGTAGCAAGGCCAAGCGTTGATGTTACATAGTCCATATGGTAATATATGATTTCTTTGTATTAGTATATAGCCAGACATCCCCCAATTAGGTCCCCATGAGTTTTTCACTATCCAGAAATCTGTGCCATCTGCCGCTGTTCCATACCCAACTATCAGAACTGCATGATTTATGTTTCCTGGATCATTTGTTGGGCAACTTACTCCTCTGTATATTCCCTGGTCAATCAATACGTGTTTCTTAGTTATGAAGTTTCTCAGACTCTACGCATAGAAATTTGGGTTCTTGCTCTCGGCTAAACAAAATTTTGTATATGACTTACACTCCTGTACGATTGAAAATCCGGCAAAGCCAAAATGGCTACAGTGACTGGTTGTTTATAGACTTGACAGAGGATAGAGTCTTCATTTCTCTCCACCCATTTATAGCCATTGATCTTTACTGTTTTGGGCTGTCAACAAAATAACAACATTAATCAGAAAAGAACAAGAACAAGAAATAACATTAATCAGATGAACAAGAAATGGTTCGACAGAAAACATACCGCATTAGTGTTGCAAGTTCCTTTTCTCGCGGTATATGGATAGTATTGGGACTCAGCAGCTATACCCCCATTATCAATTACCCATTGGAATGCTCTATATGGCCAACCACCATCACAAGCGGAATCGTATGAATCACAGTCCACGAGTTCTTGTTCTGAGAGACTTATAAGGCTTTTAGTGACTATGGCGTTTATTCCCTCTATGGCTCCAGTTGCAGAGAATGCCCAACAACTCCCTGTAAATGAAGGATTAAAGATTAAATCCAACTGCTAATTGGAGATAGTAAAATAAATTACAGGAAAAAAGAAAAGAATCAAAATATACCACAGTCTCTTTGATTTTTAACTGGGGTTACAGCTCCCTTGTACCTCCAGTCCCACGATAGAGGATGTGGACATGTCGCATTCAATCTCTCTGCACTTGCCTCGAACACGTTCTCTTGATGAGGATCCATCTTAGAAAGATAATTCTGACTGAACTCCTCAAAACTCAAGTCTGAGAATTGGTTGAGCCCCGCAATATGATCAGATGGGTTTCTCTTGGAATTCCAATCAATTACATGTGCCAAGTTGCTTTGAAATATCTTGAATCTCCGTTGTTTATCCTCTAAGTTGTTGTACACCTTTCCATGTTTCTCCATCCATCTCTCAAAGAGCAAAGCAAGCCCCTCTTCTGAGATTACTTCGTCCGGGTCATAACCCACGATGGAGTACTCACTGGGGAGGCTTAAACTTGGGCTCACAATGGACAAGGCCACCAACAAGGAAATAACGAAGATCAACTTGGTTTTGAGACCACCCATTGAACACTATGTGTGTATAACTATAATATGATCGATCAACCAAAAAGAGGAGTTCTGGTTCATTATGTTGTTGTTGTCCCTGCTGTTGCTATATATAGAGCAGTTGGATACTTCTCATGAAATATTTCCAGCAGGCATTGTCACTGTCATAATTAATAATCTTGTACTATTATCATAATTTCAGAGAGCATCCCCATGGAATGTCTTATTGACTTGACAAAGTCTCATCGTTTTCCAAAGTTTAGAATAATATACTGTGGGCTGAGTACTTGTTTTTGATGTTTTTGTCATTTTGGTATTAAATAATGGCTATAGATTTGAAGGATAGGTTATGTTGTGAATTGGATACAGTTCTATGACCAGTATTCAGGCTTCTGCCATAGTATAAATCACAGGTTGAGCTTGAGCTTAGGGGTTAGGGCATGGTATTAAGTGGGCCCAACTTACAATGTAAGACTGGGTATATGGGAAGTATTAACCAAGAAAAATTCAATGGTCCTGATGAATGGTTTTTAATTTTTATTTTTATCTTGTCATTTGAGTTGGACTGGGTTGGAAATTTGTAAAATTTTGAATGGGTTCAAAACCTAATCTAAGCTTGATGTAGTGGAAATTCTTCAAATTGAGAGAGAGATGAAGGAATATTTTAATAAATATTGTGAAATTTCTTAAAAACTTTTCCTAAACTTTCTGCTCCTTTCTTATTTTCTATCAAACTAAACATAGTCTAACTGACACTAATTCCCTCTGCAATGGTAATTCTACATGGGTTTGGCAATAACATTACCTAATGGATGGATATGTCTATTATCATGTCAAACTTGTAAATAAATTTCAAGTTGGTCTATATCCTATTAAATGCAACTAAGAATGTCCCTTACGGCACAACATTGCAACCTTAAATTTATTATAATGATGAATTGAGAATTCAATCTACTGGATCAGAATGAAATCTTTGCTTTGATTGGTATTTAAGAAATCTCTCTCTCTCCTTTTATTTTTCTTTCATTGTTGAAGAAACCTACACCGTCAGTTGTGCAAACTGAACCTTAGCTTGTTCTATTATTTTAATGTGGAATGAACATAGAAATTAAGACAGAAGATGTACGCATCACAGTCTAGACATCGAAGTTACCTTTTTAAATAATTAAGCATTGAAATATATATAAGCAAATTGCTGCACCTTAGAAGCTCAAATCACTGTCTCACCATGACGTACAGTTGAGAATGGGGATATTAAGCCTAATCCAGTAGTCTTCATGAGTGAATTTTGGTAAAGTGCATGGGAGATGGATTTAATGTTTCGGTTTTCTAGCCAATTAATGACAAACACATTTGGGCTTACAAGTAGGGCTGCAACTTGGGCAGATTGGGGTTGCGCATTTGTCAAAATTTCAATAAGACTGAGTCCGAAGCTGTCTAAATTCTTCAAATTGGTTATCCTTACAAAGACATTTTTTTATGCAGGAGCTTCTGCTTCACTCCACCATGGGAAGACCTTGACCCATAGGAGATGACTTATAATCACCGCACTATTACCTTTGGGTTTATGATAAATAAATAACCTTGGTTGGTGTACCCAATATCAATTATTATTAGGTATATATTCTATGCAGCAGTTGCTTGAGAGTTTAGAACACAGAATGACAGAATATATATTGAGCTGTATAAAATATGTAATAACGTATACTTCTCATATTGGTATCTGATCGGATGTGCTTGGTTCTTTGGTTAGGTAAATATAAGTTAATGAGTTGCTCTGAAACACAATTAAAAATTTCTTTATAGCTCTTTTCTCTGTGATGGTTCTCTCTCAGACTCTCATACAATGGGCACTTCCATGACTCACAGGATATATATATGATGATGCGTACTGCTTTAGAGTATATATGATCTTATAAGTACAATATGACTAGAAACTATTAGAAACTTGTGTTGACTTGACAATTTATAATTTTTTATGGCTAGTCAGAATATCACAATTATAAATTATATGATACCATGAGTTTTAATTGATTTAAATGATAAATAATCTTGATGAACATACACTGCATTAAATATTTTAAGGAAGCAATGAAGGGTATATAATTCATGGAATCGTTGGGTGTAATTAAATTATAAATTATTGTAAACGTAAAAAAATTTAAGAGTATACATTATTAGAATTATTAGAATGGATAATATTGTGATAAGGGTGAAAGCTATTAATTTTTGGGGATTGTTTACTGATTAGAGTAGTCTTTTTTTTTAAGCATAGTCAAATGTATTTGAAGGAGTCTAAACCCTAAAATGCACATGGGAAACTTTAGACCACTCTGTACTCTGTTTTCTATAAATAGAACCTATTAGTGTATCACCATCAAGAATAATCTAATTGCTTATACATTAATGTTAAGGTTTACACTATTGAGAATATGTGGACATTTTATATATACTAATTAATTGCTTCAGAGTTTGAGTTTGGAGTGCAATATCACTTAGATGGTGTTTGGTATCAATGTAGTTTTTAGAATTAAAAAAAAAAATGATCAGTTCTTCCAAAAACTGATTTCCCAACATGTTCACTATTGATGATATTCATCGCATCATGATAGTGTTAGCATTGATGCTATTGATATTGATGAAAATGGAACTTTCACCCATGATACTGATACTAGGGGAAAAAGGAAGGCCTCTAAGTTGAGTAGTCTGGTTTGGAAAATTTTTAAGGTAGAGGATATTGAGGGGAAGGGAAAAAGGACAATTTGCAAAAAATGTAAAAAAGACTTTAGTTATTATAGCAAGGGTGATATGGGCCATTTGAGCAGACATTTTCTCACACATGAAAAGGAAGAAGATGAATGGAGAGAAACAACACAAACACAAATTGGGAGGGGGAGTAGTTTTGGTACATTTAAATATTCAAAAGAAAAAATGAGACAAAAATTAACTAAGTATATTGTACATGCAGAACAACCATTTATATTAATTGAAGATCCAAAGCTTGAAAAATGGTTGCATAATTCTGTAAACCCACAATATAAAAAAGTTCTTAGGAATACTATTAGATCGGATGCTTTAAAAATATTTTATTCATATAAACAAAATTTAATTTCTTTGTTATCAAATCTTAATTCTAAAGTTGCAATTACTTTTGATGTTTGGATATCTAAATTTAATATAAGTTATATTTGTTTTACCAACCATTTTATTGATGAAAATTGACTTTTAAGTAAAAAATTTTTAAGTTTTACTAGGCTTGAATGGCCACATACTGGTCCAACTATTGTTGCAAGTATTTTAAATACTTTCCATGCTTATGGAGTAGAAAATAAATTATTTTCTATTAGTTTTGATAATGCTAGTAATAATGATTCTACAATAAATATTTTAAAATTTCAATTAAAACTATGTTTAAATGGTAAATTATTTCTTATCAGATGTGCATGTCAAATCTTAAATTTATGTATTCAAGATGCCTTGAATATTATTTCTACTCATATTTCTAAAATTAGAAATTGTATTATATATATTAAAATTTTAGGGCAAGAAAACAAGAATTTAAATATTTATGTCAAAATTATGGTTTAAAATATAAACATTTTATATTAGATATAAAACATAGGTGGAATTCAATTTTTTACTGATTTTTATAATTCAAAAATGCCTAATGATATGATATTTGAGGAAGACTAGGAAATGATAGTCTGTATAAGATAATTTTTAAAACATTTTTATGATGCAACTAATGAATTATTAGGTAAATATTATCCGACTAGTTGTAATTTACCTTATCAATTAATGGTAATAAGTGATTGTTTTGCAAAATATAGAAATAATCCATAATTTTAATGTATTTTTGAAATAATGGAAAATAAATTTAAAAAATATTGGGAGAACATTTCTCCCCTTTCCTGTTTAGCTACAATATTAGGCCCTAGGATTAGGAAAGATGGTTTAGATATTTTACTTGAAACATATTGTGAAAATATGAATATTGTAATTGGAAATAAAAAAGAAGAAACTAATAATTTATTATTTGAAGTGTACAATTTATATGAATATGAAGTTGTAGGAAATATTCCTACAACTTTTACATCATCTTCTATTTCTGATCTTGAGCCCTGTAGTAGAAGAGAAAAATATTTTTATTTAATAAGTAGAAGGCAGAATTCTGCTACTACAATAAGTTCATTTATTGAACTTATTTTTTATTTACAAGCAAAATTTTCTAATTTAGGTAAGAAAACAAATAATTTTGATATTTTAGCCTAGTGGAGTGAACATTCAAAAAATTATCCAGTTCTCGCCGCTATGGCATGTGATCTACTAACCCTTCTGATGTCTACAGTTCCATCGAAGTCTTATTTTAGTATACCTACCAGGGTGTTGGACAACAAGAGAAGTTGCATGAATGATGAAAGTATAGAGATGTGCATCTATTTCAAGGATTGTTTAGATACAGAAGATAGACTACAAGACAAAGGAGGGCATGATACTACATCGGATATTTCACCTGAAGTAGATGATGAAAGTCATGATTCATGAAGTTGACTAGTTGTATAGAATTTTTTATTTTTTCAAACTATTATAAATTTTCTTAAATTTATTTGCTATTTTTTTTTAATTTTTAACAATATAATTTTGTATTTTCAATTTGTAACTATATTGTATTTTTTATATTTTATTAATTTATTCCATTTTTATATTTCATTCATCCAAGTAATCCAATGATCCAATCATTGTATTTGAAATTTGTATCATTCAAATTTAAATGAAATAAAATTCCTATTTTTCTTCCAATTTGTTATTCCATCATTCTTATTTCAATTTGGTTAAGTATTTTCTTTTTCATTTATGTGTTAGATAATTTAGATTTCTCATTTCTTAATTTTTCAAATAGTTCCCAAAGTTCAAAAGAAAGTTAAATATTTTAGTTTTACACTTTTACTTAGAAAAGAAATAAAAAATTTCAAAAAAAAAGTCAAAAAAATTACTCTAGCCCAGTTCAGCCCAGGCCCAAGGCCCGCCCTGTGGCCTAGCCCGGCATGGGCCTGCATGGGCTTAGT